TTATATTAATTCTTTCTTAATTGTTTCTGGAAGCTATCTCAATGGAGATGGCCCCCTGGTTCTTTAGATGCGCTTCGAGCTTCCTTTAGGCGTTTTGGAAGTTATTCCCGGGGTTTAATAATGGATTAGGCGGGCTTAGCGTAATCCTTACTTTCTTGCACGAAAGCAAAAAGACACTTCTTCGCAGCTTCTGAGTTCTCTTATTTCCAGCTGATGATCTAAAGCTGGTAACTTACTAGTAGACTGAGCTCCCCTTGAAGACATTATCAATATCAGGTCGTGGTGCTTTCCTTGTTGAATTTCATCCCAGGGCATTTCATCAGAAAGAAGGATAAGAATGCCTTTCAACAGCTTATCCGTCTGTCTTCGCCTCGGCCTGATCTTCTGTTAAGGCATAGGGCGCGTAAGAGAAGTTATAGGAGGGTAGCTCTGTCTTTCTGTCTAGGACTCATATTAGCACCTGATAACTCTTATCCAAATGGGCTTCTTTCTGTAATCTCCATACTGCATGGCTAACTACGCGACTGCAACCTTAAGCTGTCAGTCTTCACTCTCCCATAGAGGAATGAAGACGAAGGAAATCAAACTTTAATTACCTCTCGCGACAGACTGAACTAAACTCTTGAGGATAAGGCTGTAGGAGATCTTCGCTGAGAAAGGCCTGTAACTACGTGAAGAGAAAGACGTCTATCTCAGTACTGATTTACGGTTGTTCCTAAGCTGACCTAGGCAGGGAATAATGGGAAAGGCGGTAATAGGACTTTGAGGTTCTTACAGAGACTAGGGCCTGGGGCCACACTATTAGTTACGTTTTTTTCTTTCCTAACAATTTACCCTGTAATCCTAGAAATAAGACTACCTGTGACTTATCTGCTGAAGTCAGGCCGGTGTCAAAAGAGTTCGATTAATCTCCTGCTCGTCGCCTCTGGGGCTCTATGGCTCTTGGTCTCTTACCTGCTCCTAGACCGCCCGCCTGATAAACTCTTAAGGCGGAGTGCGTGTAAACAGAGAAAGAGTCAGCTAAAATTCATGCCTGTTTATAAATCTCCTGGAGGGTAATGCACTAGAAAGACTTTTCTCAGCAAACATGAGTAATAGACTTCCCAGTAAGGAATCATAAGATCATCCCTCGGTGTTTAGGAATTGATGAAATGGGATAAGGGCCGCTAGGCCCAACTCTTAATCTTATATGTCCCCGGTAACTGCACTCATAAATTGGCATACTGCGATTAAAAAGTCTAGGTTTTAATATAAGGAGATAGCAGTTTGAACCTTTGCTTTCCTCACTATGTTACCCCTGAGCGGTTAAGAGATTATTAGGGTGTTAGAATATCATCTAAGGGCATAGGGGGTCAGGTGCGAGGCTTATGGCTATACTTAAGCAATAAAGCCTGTAACGACAGCCTACGAAGACTCCCTAGAAGGGGAACTCCAGGGAGAGTCCAAGAGGGGAATACCCGCGCACAAACGAACTAATCTTTCTTTCTTGCCGCTGCACACTAGACGACTAGCTCAGCCTTATCTTTCTAAGGTAGGGCGTAAAGATATCCTGCTTCTTTCGGAGTTCCCGTAGTTCTGACTTACCTGATATAAGGGGATATTGGCCTCCTAAGCTCAAACTATTGGATGTTTTGACTTAGTTACCTCTTTTCTTAGGCTTAATGCCTTCAACTAAATAGATCGAGGCAGCCCGGAGAAGAGCAGGTGAAGATCTGAGGCTTTGATCATGCCACTAAGCACTGGCAGTGAATCCCTGGCTTAAGGATGAGAGGAGAATCCCCCGGTTTAGTAAGATATTTGGCTTAAGATCAATCAGATCTCGTAGCTGCTGCTAATGGATTTGATTACCTTAGATAGCTGCTTATCGTGCACAAACGATCGCCTGTAGTAAGACTGACTTAGACGATTCTAGCATCTCTCGCTTGAAGCTAAGCTTTAATAGTTGAATTTATGCCCTGGATTGAAATTTCTTAGGTGGCAGAGAATGGACTAGTAACTGATTCCAAGGGATTAGTAAGAGAAGCCAATAGGCAGTCAGAGCCTACTTCATTGCCTCATCAGTCTAAGCCGAAAAGCGAACTGATTGCTTTCTTAGCTGCTACTTGGCTAAACATTTCGTTAAGGGATCCCGCTCTCCGCGAGACTGCATTCGATTGGTATGCCAGGTTGCCTGCTGGAACCATAAACTCGTGGGCGGATGGCGTTACTTCCTCCTTCAGATCTTCTTTCGCTCTTAAGGGCTCTAGAGGGCCTTAGAATGCGTTTTTCTGATCATTATGTGGAATCATCCATATGAATCAAGAAACGTTGTTTTAAAAGTAAGAATCTAGCTGTCTGCTGGCACGTAAGTGACTAGAGCGAAGCGAGAGGACTGAAGTGCTCGACTGGAGAGGAGAGGAAGGTGAATAAGAATAAGCAGCGCGTCGAGAATAAGTGAGTGTGCGGTGGATAAGAGATGTCGCAGAGAATTTAATATTGAAAGAGTCTGTGCGTCGAGACTTATTTGCATGTGTTGGAGTTGGGCTGCGATGGTGTCTTCGAGTGGGGAGAATCCGGGGTCGAGGGGATCTTTCCTATCTCTCTGCCTTTACCGGGTAAGTTAGCACCACTCCGCTGAATTAAGATTCTTTCAGTAATATCAGTATAACTTATAGAAGTATAATAATAATAAGTAACATATCGCATATCAGTTTTCTTAAACTAATAAACTCTTAGTATGATTAGCAAGCCCACACTGAATCGAGATCCAGTTCTTACGGCCAACACGGCACTCACTGCCTTCTTAGGTGCGGGATATCTGTGCACACATACTCCCAGTCCTGCGTGTAAGCAAGCCTGAGATCGTGGTCCAAGACGAGCATATTGGTTGTATAAATGGCCTTTATCCGGATCCGGGCTTCAATTCAAAAAGCTCGGTACTCCAGAGTGAGAATCTTGTTCTGAATCTGATTCTTTGGCATATTGCCCAAGGGCATCCGATCCTGTTAGCATACTAAAGGTAATTCATGTACGAGCTAGAAGCGCACACTCAGCAATCTCCGACTCGAAATCGAGGAACTACCCAATAGCAAATGTCGGCATACCTGCATCATCTGGCGGAAGGAAAGGTGCTAAACTAAAGAAGAAGGAAGCGGCAAAAGGCGATCCGGACATAGATAGGAATTATAGGAAGATGTGGAACTCTTCTCTCCTTAAATGTCTTATCAACTCAGCAAATGCCCTTCATTGAAAGACTTGGATTCAGCTTTCCTTGAATCAACGCTTCGCTCATCTAAGAGTAAGAGGAGCTCTAGTCAGGAATAGCGTTTATCTACGAATTGCGATGAGGCCCCTAATCGAGTTAGTGAAGCTAGGCTCCCACGGAGCGGTAACTAGAACAAGGAAAGGTCAGTCCGCTAGGAACATTAGGAGGTGCTTCCTCCGGTTCAGGTTACCATGGACGACCCGTAAAAGGACGGATCGATCTAGGTATCGGATCGACGAACACCCGACAGCTGTTCACAGGTACCCTTACTTGGAGTAAGGTCTTTCCTGCATGCACCCCCATCTACATCCAACCGTAACAATGATCCTAGGCTTCCACTATCCGCACAATCCATCCAATTTACCCTACAGTAAGAAATGGGCTTCTGATATTGGAAGGAAAGGCGGTAACGTCCTGGAGGTAGATGTTATATCTTCACTTTGATCGTAACCTTGCTTAACACATGGTTTTCATTAGGGGAGAAATAGTCCGTCCCGACTACTCCTCCAAAAAAAGTGATTGTATTTCAATCAATTCGAAGTAAAGTAGTATTGGTTGCAGCCGGGTATAAGGTCTCAAGGGATTTGTGATTGCCGCGATTCTCCTCAGGTCGTTCCCCTTTCGAAGTCAATTATGCTTCGGTCAATAGCTGGTGCTCTAGCCAATAGGCTTTAGTCTTATTTCTTTATTATTGCATAACTGGATTTCCTTTTTCTGGAATACCCGGTGGTGGAGTATGAGAAAAAGCTGTTGGTCTTATATTTTTTTCATCCGTAACTATAGAAATCCCTTTTGAGTAAGCTAATAAGAGAATTCAATTGACCTCGCCGGCAGGCGCTACGCTAGCTTTATACTTACTAACGCGGGAACGCTTGGAAGAAGTTCTCGGCTGGCTTGAGAACTAGAATTTCAGGGCGGACTTGCTACGACTACTTTTCTTTTTATAGCGTTGTCCACTTATTTTTCGCCCCTATCCCTAAAGGGCTTGAGAGAAACATGTCGAAGGAACTCGGCAGCATCCTATTGGGAGGAATAAATCGTTATGGAGGTTAGGAAATTGGTTATCGTTCCTCTTTTATAGAGTAAACCCTGAGCCCAGCCAGCCACCACGCCGCAGGACTTTAGAAAACTAGAAAAGCCTTTCCCCTATCCGAGATGTGCTTACGTTTTTCAGCTGCCACTAGTTGAGGACGCGGACTGTAAACAACTAGTTCCCGAATTGTTTGAGGAAGCACAGAAATTGCGCTTAGTCTCGCTACCTCTTTAGTTTCTGCCCCCTACTTGCTCATTCACGCAATACAAGATTTGATCGATGCAGCAGATTCAATTCCTTCAATAGGTGCAAGAATGAGCCCGCCGGCCTATTGGGATAGCAGAAAAGGCATTCTATCCGAGGACACGTCTGAAGAGGAGAATAGAACGGCAATCGAGTATGAAGAACCTTCCCTAGGAGGTGGAATACCGCAGGAAAAGTAGTACCCCTTAGAGGTGCAAACTAGTTTTTGTCTGTAGTGTTGGCGAGCGAGAGCGGCAGATTTTACTGTTTGCTGCATGGGAGCTGATTACCAAAAAAATCCCTCAGTCGGTCCCAAGAAGCGGCGTTAGACTGCGACCTATAGCGGTGCCGCAGGCGCCAGCACCGGCACCTAGTCTTATCTACTCCTAAAGTTCCCCTTCAGCTCACCTTGGATCAAAATTCAATATCATAGAAATGGAACTAATCATCATAACCCCAACTTTAGAACGAGCATTTTCGGGGACTAGCCCGCAGAAACCTTCAGTCAAAGATTGGAATACGGATGAGATCAAAAAGGCCATCATTAAGGCAAACAAGGCTATGGCTTCGGTTAGAGCAAAGCGCATAACCAAATAATTGTTTTGCCAATGATGGATTTCGCGCCACGGAATGGATCAAAGAACTGAAGACGTTTCCAATACCGACATCAACTCGCACTCTTTTATACAATCTATCTGCATTTTCTTTGACCAACAGGTCCTCAAACCTGTCCCCCACCCTCGCCTATGAA